CTGGAGGCTATTTACTTCAATTGAATACTGGATGTCTGAAGTTGGTTTATTGGGAGAAATGGGGTCATTCCCGTCATCCATATTTTTCGTGTCACTATCTTTTTTTATGTAAATTTATAAAATATTTATATACATATATATAAAAATGCAATATTATTAAACATGTATATAAACAAATATGTTCTTCTCAATTTACCTGATGCAGTTTCGGTAATAGAATTTTTGTTGTCACCGTTTAGTTGGGGATTCTAAGGAGGTGAATTTGTATAATAAGTTTAGTTTTCTCCTTTGTATTGAGGATTGATTAGTTTACCTGATCTCCTATGTCGTCATTAGCGCTCTCCAGGCTTTGAGTATTTTTAGTCTCTGTCGATTCATTCTGGCAATAGTCTGGGGCAGCACTGCTTATATTAGTTATCTTATTTTGATCGAGCCTTTGCTCTTGGTCTACAATATCTGTGGTAATTGTAGACGCCGATTTTTTCTTCTCGTACTCTTGAGATTCCAATCTTTCTTGGATACTTGATTTGGTCAAAGACTCTTCTTTCAGGATATTGCTTGGATTGGATTTAATATCCTTGGTTTCCTTTACAGTACTTTGAGTTATAGCATCAGTTGGTATTTCTGAATTTTGCTTATCAATGGGGCTTAAGGAGTTTGAAGGCTCGAGTGTTTTGATATTCTCGTATTCTGTGGATTCCAAACTTTCTTGGAAACTTGATTTGGTCAAGGATTCTTCTACAATTATATTGCCTGGATCGACTTTACTTTCCTCGGTTTTTTCATTTTCATTTACAGTATTTTCAGTAACAGCATCGGAATTAATTTTATCACTGCCATTATTAATTTGGGAGTTGGTAATAGCATCGGAATTAATCTCATTATTAACAGTAAGAATTTGGGAGTCCACTGGAATTTCAGCAACCGTAGTAAGTTTATTTATATTTTCATCTACTGTATCATTTACTTGATTAGTGCTAGGATTATTATTGATGATATCGTCTGAAAACAAGTAATCAATTTTAACATCAATATTAAACATCAATAAATAACTATTAATTAAAAGTCAAAATGTTCGATCTGATTGCCTTTCTAATAGTCATTGCTAATGCACAAATGCTAATCAAACGAAAATGCAAAAGAACTAATAGTAAATACCTAAACTAGTATAATCCAAAACGAACGTATTGTGCCAAATGTATGAGCGAGTATTTTGCTTCATTTGAAATTATTTTTCTTTTTTTTTTCAGAAATTTACCTGTTATCTGATTTATGAGATTCTCGTTGTCTTTCTCAACTGATTTTAGCGTAGGCGAAATTGGATGATTCTAAAACAAATATTTACCCATTAATGTTTTTTATCTTACAATTGTTTTTGATTTTTTACCTGATTTGCTGATTTATCATAATTGGACTCCAAGCTAGCATGTTTCGTGGCTTTTGATGACAAATCCGCAGACCTTTCTTCCAATGTCGTGATTATACTATCTAAAGGCTTTTGATCAACGTTTTGTTCTAGATCTAAAATATCTGTGCTCAGAAGGCTTGTTTTAAGAGATTCTGATGAAGCTTTCAATTCAGTTGTAATTTTGGAAACCAACTCCATATCGCTCCCACTGGGACTGCGGATCTTTTCAGACTCTGGCAAGGACTCCAAGCTTTGTATTTTGGAACTTGATTCAGGGATTGATTCTTTTGTAACATTGTTGGATGTAATTACATTGTGGTCCTCAACTCCATCCATTTCAATAGTTTGCGCGCTCTCAAAAATTCGATTGTCATCGTTGAGGCTTTCACTTTTTATTATCGAACTCTTTTTAAATTCGTCAGTTTTAAGCAAATGCTTCTCACTATGTTCTGAAAATTGGGTTTCGTTCCTATTCTCGTCATCAAAAAGGTCTTAAGTAAAACAAATAAAAACATGTGGTGAAATCGACTTAATATTCAGAAATTAGTAAGGCCCATAAATAAACAGCTTTTAGCTATTTGAACTTGTTCTATACTTATAGAAATCTCCACAGTATTTATTATAAACTGAAAATAAGGATATAGAGACACATTTATCAAATTGATGTTACCTGCATGAGTAGTGGCGACATTCTCGCTGTTGCTACCAGATGATGAAACTGCTGTTGTAGTGGCTGAATTCTGGATAATATAATTTCAGTGTTTACATTTTTTTCACTAAGATTGTATGCTTTGCTCTTTACCTGATTGCCTAGGTCACTTGTTGTTTCCAACGATAATATCTCATTTGTAAACTGTATTGTATTTGCTTGATGTTGTTCAGGCTCTAAAATATCTATGTTTAATGGGTTTGTACTTTCTTCTATTGAAATGTTTTTAATGTTTTCATCATGTCCGATTTTTTCAAGTTGCAAGTTCTTTGAAATATCATCGTCTGTAGTAGATTTTTCCAACTCATCGCAGGTCTTTGTCCCAAAATGTTTGTCTATATGTTTGTCTTCAGTTTCATTCAGTTCTGTTTCATTAAAGTTGTCATTTTTATTTTTGGCTGAAAAATATATTTATATATTATTAATTTACGCTGTCATTGGGCGTAAATTAATAATTCTTTGCCATGACCCATATAGAAGCATCCAAAAATAATACATAATATATAATCGGTGATTCCCAATTAATAAACGTTCATAACAACAGACAGACAATTAGATAAAAGTAGAGGCAAATTATTTTCACTTCAACGGGTATAAAATATAACAAGTAAGAAAGCTCTAGTCGAGACTGCTCGACTACGAGATCCCCTGAACCCTTGGAGCAATAGATATTTTAATAATTTTTCGCGTCTTTCAGCTTACACAAGAAACACGCACACACACACACGCACGTTCGCACACACAGGCATACATACACACACACGCATACAGACACAAACGCATACACACACTCACATACACACACACATACACAAACACATACACACACA